GATCTGCATGCGAATGGGACAAACTCTCACTCTGAGCCACCTATAGGGCTCAACGTGAGTCAGCACTGACGATACAACCCCAGGCCGACGCCAGCCCTTGATTGGTCCTCGAAGGCAATTCTGTTGCAGTGGCATTCCATTTGCTGTGGCAGATCTGCAATCCTATATGGTTATCTGAGGAGTAAAGCGAGCAGCCCACCACAGATTTCCATGCGCCGCTTTGTTGGAAGAGAACATTCTCTGTGGCACGTGATACAGATACAACTGGCCATCCAACTGCGCCACCATGCAGAGCACGGGTCAACAGCTGCAGCGGCTGCTGCCACTGCGTCTAAACTGCTGCGAGAACGATTCCCTGCTCGGCCTCATTCACACCTGCTCCACGGCAGGGGCGCAGGGTGGGCAATACATTGCGCCCCAAGGAAGGGGGAAGGGGTGTTCAAACATTTCATTTCCTAGGGATGCAGGGGTAGATGAACAGATACACCCCCCCCTGAGACTTACAGCCAGCTCTCCAGAGGTACCCAACAGGCGATCTCCCGAGAGCAGTCCACGGTACCTGTCATACACAAAAGATGGAATGCCCGGCGTCACTGCCACACTCCCACCCAGTGGACGTCTTGCGGACTCAAAGTCCGCCATCGAGGTCCAACACGAAGCCATGCCCCCGTGGCAAAAGAAATCCAAAACCGAAGCCAAAAAAAGCCGTGATTGGTTCGTGCGAGGACAAAGGTCGATCAAAGCGCCAAGGCCCAGCCCACATCGAGCATCTCTCCCCCGCGCAGTTGTTGCGCCCATCCGCCTGCCCCGACTTCCCTTCCACGCCGCAGGCGCCGTCCACAAAGGCCGCTGGACGCGACGAGTCTAGCAGGTGCGGCCGGACGGCCACCCTCGGCGGCAAGGCAGCGCCGCTACGGTCGCGTCCTATCCCACCGGCAGGGTCTGCCCACTCAATGCGCAACCCTGGAGCCACTATCCGTCTGTTCAAATGCCTGTCCCAGGCTCTTGCGGAAGCCCCCCAACTCGCTTGCGGAGTGGCATCCTGTTCCTTTTATGCGTTTGGAACATCGTGCCGACGTGTCAGGGACTGATTGCGCGAACGTTTGGGGTGGATGCGACGCCCTCCTCCCCCCAGGCACTCCGTTGCCATTCCGTGGGATTGTCGCGCATGTGTGACGCATTGGGTGGTCGAACGGCGGCATGGACTCGGGGGAGCGCGATGCTAGGCTCTTGAAAAGCGCCGTCGGGATGGCGCTGACCCTTCCCGTGGAAATCGGGGAAGGGAGAGGTGCCGTCCTGTTCCAGTCCCGCCACTGTCGGCGCCCCTGGCCAGCTTCCGCCCGCTGCCGATGGCAGATTGCCAGATCCCGTCTGGGCCAGGCCGAGCCTCGGGATGCCCCCGCGGCCATCGACCTGCATTTCCGTCCGTGCGTTTTCCGAGCCTTGGGCGTCGATTCCGTTTGCGTCCACGAGGGGCGAACGCGATGCGAAATTTGGTCTCCTGATTGCCGGAGCGCCCGTTCGCATTCACTTCGAGACGGCCATGCTTACCGCCTTGCTGTGCCCCAGGGGCGCGGTAGGGGCGGGCGCTGTCGGCATGCCCCACCGGGCGTTGGCGGCCCTTGGCCGGGCCCTGGACCCCCAACTGGGCGCGGCGCACCTCTGCCCGGCGGACAGGGACGCCATCGCCGCGCCGCCCTGCTGCCACGACTGCCGATACTCCGTGAGAGCGCACAAGGTGGTCACGTCGCCCGCGCCCCCTTGATGACAACGACGCGAGCGTGACGCTCTATGAAAACAGTGTCCGTGGACACCGGGAGCCTCCAGCCCGTTGATGTCCGCCAGATTGCCAATCCCTCTATCGCGACGGCCGTTTCCTTGGCGCCCATATTCACCGCGCGTTGCCGTAGAGGCCTGGTCCCTCGTCCACTCTCCTGTCCAAAATACATTTTGCAAATATACCTTGCCAACCTTGCAGTTCGTGCACACGAAATTGCTGTTCCATGCTTCGCCACCACGGCGCCAGTTCCGCCCATGTATCGCCTGAAACTTAACCCGCGACCCGGCCTGTGCGCAGGCGCTGAGGTCGCCCCCGCTCAGCCCAGCCTTCCCCGCCCTGCCCTCCCCCTCCCGCCCGGGATCCTCCTGCGTTTGCCGGGGCCTCTTCGGCAGGTCAAGCCTGCCCGTCCAGCGCGACCCCTTGGCCGAGGTCCTGGCCATCCGCGCGGACGTGGAGAGGCAGATCTCCGGCCTGCAGGCGGAGCTGCGGCCACTGATACGCAACCTGGAGGCCGAGGTAGCCAGCGCCGCCCTGGCCAACCTTGTGGACCAGAAGAACAAAATTGTGGACAAGTTCGAGGCCACAAAGGCCAGCTTGGTGGCCCTGGAGAGCGCCGTGGCCGGCGTGGGGCTCTCCGGGGGGCGCAGGGTGAACAGGGAGCTTAGGGCGGTGGACGCCACGCTGGGAGACCTCGTCAAGCGGGCGTCCAAAATCAGGTCGGATCTGGCGTCCCTAACGCTAAGAATTAGGAGTGAGCTCTCGCCCGAGGTGGCTGCCCTCCTGGAGGCCGCGCAGAAGCTAAGGAGCGACGCCCTGAATGCCCAGGCCGCCATCTCCGAGGCGTCAGATGGGAGGCAGGTGTTGGAGCTGTGCGCAGCGCTGGTGGAGAAGATCGAGAAGGGCGGCGATCCCGGCAGGGAGGTCAGCCACGCGGTGCAGTGCATCGAGGGCCTGTCCCCGTCTGAGCAGCCGGGGGTGGCGGAGCAGGTGGCGGAGCTGGATGCCCAGGCCACCAAAGTGGTGGAGGCCTATGCAGCCGCATTTGTGGGCGCTGCTGAGGCTGATGGGCGGTCAGTGGAGGAGGTTCTGAAGGGCCTCAAGGACAGCTTCCCTTGGACACCCAGTCGCAGGCTTGGTGTGCTGGGCGGTGGGGGCGGCAGAGGCGGTGGTGGCGGGGGCTACGGGGGGTACGGAGGCCCTGGGGATGGTTATGGCGATGGCGAGCGAGTTGGGGCGCTGTGGCCAGGATTGTTGGTCGCCATTGTGCTGTACATCGTGGCGCTGCCTGCCAGCCTGAGGGCACATGAGGCCATCATGAGCAACTACGAGATGTGGACCAGCAGGGGAGACAGACGGCTGCCCACTGACAGCTTCTTTGAGTATTTGATGCCTTTTGAAGAGTCCATCGTCTTTGACCCGGTGCCTTCCAGTGGCGAGGGGCAGGGTGGGAACGATCGCGCGAACGGGGGCTACAAGGTGTCTGGGGGCATGTTCGCCCTCTCTGTCCTCCTATCCAAGGCAGTTGCAGCCCGGTATTAGCGCAATGCATGGGGTATGCAGGAGCCAATGACAATATAGCAACAGTCCCCAGTATGCCTCCCCCTGCTTGGTCCCTGAGGTGCCACATGATTCTGTGTATTCGAATGGCTACTGGGGACTGATCAATGGGAGGCCACTACTTCTGGGGAAGTGTAGCTGGATATGGCTTATGGTTAAACGGAAGGCTGGTTCATGTTCAGCAATAGGTCGTGGGATAGTAAGGCCACTGAGCCCATGTGTCAGCACAAATTGACAGAAATGGGTTTGGGGCAGTCAGTGTATCGGTACACATTGATCAAATGCACAGAAGAAAGCACAAGGGCCCCAGAATGGCAACTGATGTCGACTATAAATGCAAAGGAGCATAGCGAGGGGACGGGCTTGTGAGGAGCCGTAGTTGCGACTGGATGGGTGGGTTGCGGGTTGTGTAGTGAGCGTCTTTGCATTGCCATTGTTTCTTTCCAATTGCCTCTGCATAATGTGGACAATGTGCTTGTCGTTGCTGGAACTGTTGGGGACCCATGAATGTCTTCCCTTGAACATCAAAACGTGAATCGGAAGTGTGTTGTGAGCGTCAGTCGCAATTCTTTTGGCGTGGACAAGCTGCGCAACTTGGGAGTATGCCCTGGATGTATTATCTTGCTATGCTACTGGGATCCTGTGCAGGCCTGGCGCTTTGGCATCGGGCACAAAGCAGGGTACGTTGAGCTCGACAAAAGTCCACCTGCGTTTTCGAACAATATATGCAGGACATTAAAGTGTTAGATGTACACACACTTGTCACCGCCTACAAGATGCAAGGGCAGCGCTTTGTCTTGTCGAACAAATCGACTGTTCTCTAAGGGAGACCTGAATGTCGTTTTGTATTTCAGATAGCACAGATGCACTGTTGACTGAAAACGAGAACAATGTCACACAGGGGCACAACCCTCCAGAGCACGAGACAATGAAATTCTGTTGCATTGTTAGCACTGAGGCTGAGAAGATGTATGCTCAGCTCTTTTGGCAAGACAGTAAAAGATTTACCTGCTGCGAGGGACATGCCCTCAGCTTTATCGACGCCCAAAGGTTCGCTGTTGGCTGTGTACTTCCGAAGTACTCAGTGCTTGGGGGGGAATTTGCAGTACGAGTCCTTGGCCTCCGCCAGCGGGCCTTGGCCCCCGCTGGACAGCGTGCTGCATGAATTTGTGTTCCTTGTCGGAGACTCCCTTCATCTCCTGGGAATTGCCGCTTGGTTCCACGACGACCGCCACCACAAGCCGCGACTCGCCATGTCAAAATCCATAGCCATGTGGATCACGAGCGCATGGAACACCACAGAAGGTTGCGCCCTTCAGGCCACCCCATCAGCGAAGGGCTCCATCGATCAATCCTCAGAAAACCGTTCCCTCAATCTTCATCCGCCGTCTCTCTACTTTACCTCGCCCCGATTTCCTGGCCCCGGCGCCCGCACCCGTCGGCCATCGGCCACGTACGGCAACGCTCACAGGCGAGAAAGGGCTCTCTGGGTTTCCCTCTTTAATAAAGTCCCGGCCACGGAGCGAGCCCGGTGTTCCGACAGGCCAGGCTCCACGCCCCTCCACCCCTCTCCGCCCCCCCTCCGGACCCCGCACCCCCGGCGCTCGCCCTCAAGCCGCGATATCCCGCCGCCGGGCCTCGGCGGTCGCAGCGATCGGCCTCGATGGGCGATCCTCAGGTGAAGGAGCTGGAGAAGCGCGTGGCGGAGCTGATCGCCGAGCGGGACGAGCTCTATCGCGACATCGAGACGCTGTGCATGCAGAGCGACGATTCCTTCTGGTCGGGATCCGCCGTGCTGTCGGCGCGCATCGGCAACGCGGAGCGCGCGCTGAGCGCCATGGCCGCCGAGAACGACCGGCTCACCGCGCAGCGGGACTCCCTGAGGGAGGACCTGGCCCAGTTCCGGAGTGCCAAGCGCGACTCGGACAAGATCTCCAAGGACGAGATGGAGAAGAACCGGGTGCTGGACAGGGAACTGATGTTCTACAAGAAGCAGTGCGAGCGGGCCCTTGAGGACAGGAACCTGTTTTCGTACGAGGTGGAGGAGCTGAAGCGGGCGAATTTGGAGCTGGAGCGGGGGTTGGCCGAGGCGAGGGGGCTGGCGGAGACCGAGGCCGCTCAGCGCGCGGACGTGGCGGGCAGGCTGGCCGCCGCGGAGGGCCGCGTGGCGACCCTGGAGGAGCGGCTGGTCGAGGTGGTGCGCATCCCGGAGCTGGAGGCCCAGCTGGAGGCGTCGCGCAGGGACGGCCAGCGGCAGGCGGAGGCGATCAGCGCCATGGAGGTATCGCCGGGGCCGACGGGGGGCATTGAATTGGATTGGACTGGATGGAATGCGTTAGTGCTGCGCTTCGGCGGCGGCATTGTGTTGGGGAGGGGGGTCACACGGTTTGCCGCGGGTGCATGGGGGCGCAGGGTGTGGGGTGTTGGGCGGGCCCGCCGTTTTTTTGGCTTTGCATCGATTTCCGGAAGTGTGACGGGGTCCCTGGGGGACGCAGGCAGAGCTGGGAGCGGCCCGAAGGGACCTGGATGCGGCCAGGGAGGATGCGGAGGCGGTGCGCGAGGACCGCGAGGCGCTGGCACGGGAGCTGGAGGCCAGCAGGGAGGAGGCCAAGGCGGCGCTCGGCGCGCAGGCGGCCAAGGCCGCGGACATGGAGGTAACTGTGGCGTAACGGCGTGTGTCGCCGGCAGCGGATACCGTGCCGTGTGCGAGCCGCGTGGCTGCCTGGAGGGTGTGGCCTCCCTCGGAGCGCTGTGCTGCAGCGGTGGCCCCCGTCGAACGTGATCATGGCTGTCTGAACAGCGTATATCAAGGCGAACGCCAGGATTTGATCGGCGGCTGCAGCATCTGAATCCGTTATTGAGTTGGCACCTGTCCTGCTGTGACTTTGAGGCTCAGGTCCACTCTGAGGTCACAAGACTGCAGCCCGGTAATCAGCTACTTGACAAAGTGCAGTTCACAAACCCGCAACTTGGTTGAGCCCAACTATGTGAAGGTTGCCTACCCGGTTAACTAGTCACTGAATACTACAACATGCCAGAAATTACCTGAACAGACAGCTGAGCCTTTGCTTTCCATATTTATTCCAACTTCACACACAGCACCGATGGTTGGTTGACACCTTTCCTTTTTTTCCTTACCTGTGCCGTGATTCTCGTATCGCATTGTCAACACGCTACATCCTCCAAGTGGTGACCTGAAGTCCATTTGCACTTTGCTTGGGATGTGACTGTGCACCTTGGAGCTGCTCCTCTCTATCCAGTGGTCGCTGAGCCCGATTTGGGAGCCTTGCTAGGGCACAGGACTAAGCACTTGTGGACGTGGCCTGAGCTCTTTGTTGCCTAGCAGGTGCAGGGCAAATGCTTTGGCAGGCTTTTGCAAATAGTATCTAGCACGTTTCGAGCTCGGTTTTTGTCTCACAATCTTTGCTCACTTTCCTGCTCTTCAGAGACAAATTGAGAGTCTGACGACCCAGCTGGAGAGCGTCAGCACCGAGCTGCAGGAGGCAGACTCTGCAGTGGCAGCAGCGCAGGCCCAGGTGGAGCTCATCAACGGCGAACGCGAGCAAGAGGTTTGCCACCTGCGGGAGGAGTACAGCTCCACTATCCAGGACCTAGAGGGCCGCATCAGCACGACAGAGAGCCTGCTCAACAGACAGGCTGAAGAGCTGCAGGACGTGACACAGGCCAAGGTGGATGCACTCGTGAGGCTGTCTGAATGGCAGGTAGGTTGTCGTTGCTGATAGTTAGATCATGTGGAGCAGAGCACAGCAGAGCTCCATGTGTCTGTTGCATACGGGTAAAGTTGCAGATGGAAACAATCAACACATCCAAGTTCCTTTCTTCGCATTGGTTCCTGTGCAAGCAGCCTTCAAATAGACATGTGCAGAGCCTTGAGCCATGTCCCCCCAACAACATCTGCAAGAGAATAAAAGGACAAATCATGGCAAGTGGTTGACTCATTGTCGCAGTGGCCTGAAACCTTCCAAATCCAATTCTGTGTTCCATGCACAACCCTTCAAACTGTGCTACATATTGGGACCACCATCTTTGACTACAATCTGTGACAAAGATCACCAAAGCATTGCAGAACATCTACACGTCCATGGTCGGCATTGTCATGGTGGATGTGTGGGTGGACATCGCAGCAGCTGACACTGTTGCTGGTCTCACTCAACTAATGAGGGGTTGATTGTTATGCCAAGTGAACCACACCAGCTGGGTGTGAATTGTTGCTTTAGTATCAACGTCTACGTGGTAATGTGGCAATGGTTCCACCCAAGCAGGTTGGTTCGTGAACTGTGCCAGAGAGTCTGGGATTTCGCAGGATGTGTTGTGGAGGTCGCATTGAGAGTCAGATAAATTTAGACCCCTTGAGTGGTTGTTCACAACGTGGTGAAGTCTAGGCTAATGTGCAAAAGAATATGCACGGATGCACTAAATGCATAGTCAAGGCTTGTTGCAGGATCGTGTTCTTATTCCAAAGTTTGGCACAGTGTGCAGGAGGTGACATTATTGTGCAGCATGTCGCCTTTGCTGGTGCATTGATGAGTCAGGAACAGGCTAGAAAACGTGGCTGTTGTGTTGCCTTGCACTAGTGGAGAGAATGTCATCAGCTCAGCCCAGCACACCCACTGAAACGCAGATAACATATGTGGCACACTTCTGCAGCTCTTGAAGTGGACCTTTGGATCCCGGGTTGATGTTTGAGTGCTACGGGCTTTGTCCAGGCGAAGGCGACCCATAATGAACATCGCCTGGGCGAGCTGGAGTCCAGACTAGCCACCGTGGACATCAGGGACCCTGACACAAAGGGGGTTACACCATCCACAAAGAAGGCTGCTGGTGGGCAGGAGGACACAGGGCCCAAGTCATGGTTCAACTGGCAGCAGGGCAAACAGGCAGCAGGAGCAAACATGCCCAGGAACGTTGAGACTCATGTGTGAATAATCATAGGGGGTCCTGAATTTTGGGAGTGTGTGGCATAATGCAAGGTGCAGCATGGATGGCGGGATGGCCATTGTGGCTTCCGACCAATGCAGGTGGTGGCAGCTTGCCTGGGATTTGAAAGTAGGGTCGGCTGGGGCTGAGGTGCCTCCCTTGACCCGTGCACACTGATTTGCCCCAATCCTCTCCCATTCTTGCCACTGTTAGTGGCACATCAACTGCTGGTGCAGACATTCTTGGGCACAGGGCAACTGATCTGAAGACCCATTTTGTTCCCAGTGGGGTATCCAGGTCTTTTGCAAATGACAATCTCTTGGTAGTCTTTGATGCAGGGCGGTGGGGCGAGCAGAGCTAGTGATTGCCAGGGAGTGTGGGCTAGAGGGCTTTGGTATTCCAACAGCCTTGTTGTGACAGGGGATCACCTTTGCTGCAGCCCCCGGGGCTTGCAAGCTGACATTTTTTGGTGCTCAGTGCTGGTGGGCACTGGGATGCACCCACCCTGCATAAGCTGCTGCCGCTCATACGTGGAATGCGGCTTTGTGGGGACTTTTGCACTGCAATTTGTTGGTGTTGTGTAGTGTATTGTGCTGTGTTGGCAATTGGCTTGGTGCCGCACAAAGTTGAGAGACATCTCACCTGAGTCGAGGACTGCACAAGTGTGTGACAGCAGCCAGCCAGCTTGTTCAACCAGCTCGCCTTCCTGAGCAGGCGTGCGCAAACCTCTCACACGTTGATCCCTGAGATGGGGCTTTGTAAGTAGAGAACAGCAGATCTGCTGTTCTCTACAGAAACGGCAGATCATGGGCAGGGGATTTGTGGCACGCTGCCTTGCTGATTCCTCCTCTGTGCTGTTTGCTTCCCAAAGATTTGGCCATGCACAGTTGTTACGGCTCAATTGGACTGCGCTGACAGAACTGGATGGACTGGGACATACAAACTAGGATGGCGGAACATGTTTCCACGTGGACAGGCTGTGTACTATTTGATGACCTGGCCAGCCGCCCTCCATGCGCTGACATCTGCGCTTCACGCCCTCTACAGTTCAGTTTTGAAGATTCTTCATCTGTCGCACGTTCTGGAATTGAATTGCTTTCTTTGTGGCATGCGTGGTTGTTGGTGTTCATAGTGGGCGCACGGCTTCCTGCCAAAGCCCTCGTTCTCTATCCGCTGGCAAGGCAAAATGGGAAGCGAGATTCCAGCATCTGGGCCGCACACCCCCATCGCACCCCAGCCATCACCTTACTGCACAGAACGAAGAGGGATGTTGCGTGTCATTTTAGAGTCACGGGTTACGATTGATGACCTTTACACGGATCCAAGGCGTGCACCACGTCGCAAACGCCTTCAAATCTTTGGCCCTTTGGCCCTGTGCTCGAAATCGTGCATTGGTGCGCCTGGAGGCTAAACCCCACGGGCAGCGATTCGTGACTCCGATGGCACCCGCCGGGCCAGCTGCGACCATGGCCATGGGTGCCCAAGCGCAGAAGTGCGGAATTGCGGAGGGAGGCACCAGCGCCCCCTCCCACGATTTAGCCGTTGTCGCAGCAGGGGCTACCCGGGGGGGGGCGGGGGGGGGCTTTTCCCCTAGCTTGGGGCGAGCGGGGCTGGCCTGGCATAGCCCCGACCCGGTCTGGGGCCTTGTTCCGGAGAAACACCACAGTAACTATGCCCTCACCCCTGGGCAATTCCCTCAACATCTATTTGATTAGCTGTCCTTCGGAGACGTCGCTCGGTCGTCATGGAATCTTCTTTTCTGATGACGTGGTCGTCAAATTACCGTTTCAGGCCTTCATGCTGACGTGGGCAGGCAACGGTATAAGTGCTGGTTACGGAGTCCGCGGAGTAGGCTAGTTTACGGGAGGCCCGAAGGCAGGCGGGAGAATAATTGATGGGGTTTCCAGGCCCCTGCTGGCAGGGGCGACGGGACGTCCAGGGACACATTCAACTTGCATACACATGCCGCTCTGGGGGCGCGCGCGCTCCCCATGGATGCTGGCTGCGCCGTGGGGCAGTTTGAGGACGGTGCACGCCCGCCAGCGCCACTTCGTTTTCGCCCTCCCTCCCACTCCTAGGGATTTCATCTGGATGGGGATTGGATCGTTGGGAGTACGCTTCATCACTGTGTGACAGGGACCGGACAGGCATACACTCCCTTAATGAATGAGATAGTTCTTGAACGTCCGCTTGTACTGGTCGTAATGTACTATTATCACGTGAGTGAATGTGTCCGGGCGGGAAGCCGTAGTTATGGTACAGCCCTGCGATCTTCCCGCCCAATGGCAGGCTGAACATGTAATTACAATTACATATTCAGAACGTCACAATCGTGACAAAATGTCCACCTGATCCAATTCCAAAACAAACACCAATTCGTCACCATCCCACAGAAACACGTATTTGTCCATGTATCCAAACTCGGGTACTTCACCCGCAATCCAAAGAGTGCCTTTTCCAGTCCCAAATGTTCATCTCGAGCGAAGTCCCAACGATATCAAAAAACAACCCAAACTACCAAGGAGAGGGCGGGCGGGGAGAAAACAAAGTGCAGCCTGATGGCGCGTCGCCTCCTAAGGCCTCGGCGCCGCCGGTAACAGGCCCGATCAAGCCAAAACCGGCCCCAAGGACCGTGGCCGCCCTTGGGGCCCCAGAACCAGACTGTTCCCGCCCAAACTGGGCGCCCCGCTGACAGGACACAGTCGAGGCAGCAATTTTTTCGCCCGCCCATCTTCGGGCCTCCCGTAAACTAGCTTACTAAACGTAACCACCCCTTATGGTACAGCCCTGCGATCTTCCCGCCCAATGGCAGGCTGAACATGTAATTACAATTACATATTCAGAACGTCACAATCGTGAACAAATGTCCACCTGATCCAATTCCAAAACAAACACCAATTCGTCACCATCCCACAGAAACACGTATTTGTCCATGTATCCAAACTCGGGTATTTCACCCGCAATCCAAAGAGTGCCCACCTCCAAGCAATACGGCCCGTGCGCCAAGCGCCCAAAGCACAGGGCCGGAAAATACAGGGGGAACGAAAGAGAACCCCCATCAAGGCGACGGGACAGGAGGAGGAGACGGCGCGGAGAATATGTCACGAATCTCGTCGGGAATGGAGTCAGCCGCGACAAGCATCCAGCCAAAAAGACGGTAGTCATACTCCGTAGGCCGCCGTTGCAAATCCACGTACTTCCATAAAGCCGCGGACCCCGGGGCCCACCACCCCCAATTACGGACCTGGGCCTCAGGCACCAGGACGGCAAACGCGGAGGACGCCCCCGTACGCCGCACGCAGTGGTGGCGGTAGTCTTGCCCCGCCGAAGTGAGGTGCCGGGCGGCCTCGAGGAACCAGGCCTGGACGGCACGGGCGGAAGGGGGGTGGGCATCGGAGGGAAGGCCGTAGAAGAACTCGATGTGGCCGCGGCGGCCCGGAAGGTGCTGGGCCCGGCAAGCATCGCGCAGGCGAATCCAATGACGGACGACCCGCGCCAGGTCGGGGAAGCCGCGGTAGTCGAAGGCCCAAATGCGCCAGAGGAGGGCCCTGGTGGACTTGGACTTGTGGCGCCGCTCACGAAAGCAGAGATGCGTGGGGCAGGAAGCGGTAGAGTCGCCCGCGGGGTTGCCGAGCCAGAGGTCATCCAGGAGAATATGGAATCCGGAGTCCACCCGCGAAAAGAAAACGGTGTCTAGGATGAGGGACACAAAAGGCCGAACCCGATAAGGATTGGGCTCGGCCAGCGCCATGGTAGCCAACCGGAAGAGGTCCTCCGCCGGAAAAGCGTGCACGGAGTCGCGGTAGGCGGCCGGAGGGGCGTTGACGCGCCAGGCCCGCAAGAGGCGGGTAGTAATGGCGTCATGGGCGGAGCCCCCCGCCAGGCCCGCCCACGCACTGACCGTAGAGATGGCGGAGAGGTAGCCCCCGGCCGAGTCCACGGATACCCGGCCCTCGGCCTTTAAAAAGAGCACGAAGGCGTAGAGCATCTCGGGCGAGGTCGGGAGGGCCCGCCAGCCGCGGGCGGTGCACATGCGGGCGAATTTTTGGAACTTTCGCCAAATAGCCTCGCGGCCCGACGGGGCGTTGGCCTCCACCAGCGACTGCATGACGGCCAGCCGCTCCTCGAGGCGGAGCCGCGGAAGCTCCAGCGAGAAGTTGGTAATGGAAAATAGGCCGCGCAGAATGGAGGCCGTTAAGTCCGAGCATGGCGGCAAGGGGAGGGGGAGGCCCGGCGGGGAGAACTGCGGCGATCGATTCGAACCGCCAGGACCCGCCACCTCGGGGGGCCCAAGGAGGTGCCCGTCCGCCCCGCCGTGAAGAGATCGGGGGTCACCGGGAGCTCCCAAGTCGCGTCGGCGAGCAGGAGAAGGCACCGGAACCAAGGCGCAGCCGGCCAGATCGGGGCCAGCACAGTGGCGTGCACCCGGGGCAGGGATTCCAGAAGGCTCACCAAGCGATGGAGGAGGGAGAAGGGGGGGTTGCACCAATTGTTGTGCAGCCCCCAGTCGGTCTGGGCGAAGGCATCGATGCCGCTCGTCATCGGGCACCACCAGCGGCTGTTGAAGGTCGACACCAGGCAGTTGGTGGTGGTCGCGAAGCGGTCGATGGTGAAGGGGCCCCAAGTTCGTTAGAGCGTATGAAACGCCCGCGGATGGAGGGCCCAATCCTCCGTGTCCCGCGTCCGACTCAAGGCATCCGCCAGCAGGTTGGACTCGGTGGGGAGCCAAAC